AAGCAGTACGATATCGCTCAACGACTCAAAACGCGAAGAGGCTGAAGGCTAAAGCAAGAAGGCAATGAAATCAACTAAAGGGTGGATCACCGAGTGTATCGGCGAGCCTGACTAACTGCACCTAATGTTCCTCCGCAGCAGAAATTTCCAAACACTATAAATACTTGTTTTAAATTTCTAGCTTGGAATGACTTCTATTATTCAAACTTTTTATAGTTTTTGGAGAGTTTATGTTTTAAAGGGTTTCTGGGACTTTGTTCTAAGACCTTCAAGATTCAAAGGGTTTCAACTCCAAGAAATTGGACGTGGGTCTCGAAGATTCTTCACTCTTGACGTGTTTTATGACTTAATTCTTCATACCCAGTTGATGGAAACTGATATTGGTATAAATTTTTATCTCTTTTACATGTCTAGCTAAAACACCAATTTTGGGGTGTGATTTTGTGAATATGGGTTAAGTTATCTGTTGAGTCTTGCTTATTGATGGTTTATTTGTTGTGTAAATGTGATTTCATTTAGTAGTTGTACATGAACTTATTGGGATTGTAGTTGCAAATACAATTTCATCATAGTGTTTTTCGCTTGCTCGAGAGAGAGGTCGTAAAACTAAGACTACTAAATTGATAGCCAGTGGTACTGGGTAGACATGGGTTCAGCTCGAGAGAGTGAATCCTAGTCCTTCTCCCACGTATTCAGCTCGAGAGAGTGAATGGGCTAAGGCGGAATTGTGCTTAATGCGGCAACTAGGTGTTTTAGAGAAACCGAGGTTATTCGTGGTAAGTTGCTCGAGAGAGAACTTACCTCCACTATAGTCTAGCCTAGTCGCAAATGTTGAATAATTTATTATCAAAAGCATGTACCCGATAATCTAGTTTAACCCGTATTTCTATCACATCCCAAGAATCCCGTCTCCATATCTCATTTCTTTATATTTTTACTCTTTTTAGCTGTTAATTAATACAAACCCCCATTGATAATTGACGCTTGCATCACTCCATATATTTAGTATGTTTTTTATTCGTTAATATTTATAGGTATGACTAATTAGAACTTGATTTTATTTTTCTATTAATTCTCAAAACCATTCCCTGTGGGAACCATCACAACCCTTGGTTGGGTTATATGACTACACGCGATGGTTTGGCACTTGAGTACCGAAATAGTGTCAGTTGATTACATTGAACATCAAAATGGCACCGCTAGCAGGGCGTGGTGTTATTTGAGAATTTGTAGTTAAGTAGGATTTTCCTTTTTGTTAAGTCATAGTGTACTTAAATTTTAGTTTTGATTTGTTTGTTTCTGTGACTATTTCAGGAAAAATGAGTGAGAATGAAAGCTATGGGTATCAAATGGATCACCCTCTTCTGAAATTGTTGGACCTTAGGGACAATCTCCTAACATTTAAGCAAGTATGAGGTGAAACCATCCAATATATGTGGCTGAAATTCCAGGCAATGCTACACTTATGCCCAAATCATGGGATGTCTAATAAAGTGCTACTAGAGTGCTTTTCTAGGGGTCTTGAACCCAGAAATAGAAGTATCGTTGTCCAACTTTTCGAGGGTTCATTGCTACAACAACCCTATGAAACAGTAGCCAAACTCCTCGACTGCATGGTTAAGACAAATGAGGAAACAAAGAGAAAACATGAGTGGGCTATAATGTTAACTCAACTAGATTTCTTAACCAAGAAAGTCACGGAATTGGAAAAGCAGTCTATCAAAAAGGACAACCAGTTTCCCCGTCGCAAGTGGGAAAAGGGAAAGAAGCAGGAAAGTGGGTAGAATGAAAAATTCCTCTCACTTATTCAACACAAGATTAATGAACAAGTTAAGGGGTTAAGATAAAAAAGAGAACATCGAAATGTTGAATCTGACGACAACTTTCAATTCTATGACTAATCAGGTACAGGACGCCTAAATAAACCAATTTATAGGAAAAATCTTCCTACAGAGCAGCAAAAATTCGCCTAATGACACCATGGCCCACTCTGAAGATAAGGATTAGGTGTTAACTTGCGTCGTGCCACGACGTTAACTAAGGCGCTGCTTGGGAGGCAACCCAAGACCCTTTATGGCTTTATTTTTGCTTCAAAATAATGGTGTGTTGTTTGTCTAGGTCAAACTGTGGGAATTGTCTGAAAGGTACAGTTTGGCGAACTAATGTCCGGTCGGAGAAACACCAAAAAGGTCAGCGACGCCCGACCCAGACCGCTTTTAGACTCAAGACAACAACAAGATAGAGTTTGTAAAACTCGGTGAGCCCAGGAAATCATTGACGAATCGCCAATCATGTCGGCGATCTGGATCTTTCCCGCTGTTTATATCCCCACATCAACAAAGGGACCTGTAAAACTCGACGAGGCAAGTGAGGACTCGGTGTGCCCACAACTGGTTCGGCGATTTTGACTAAAGTCGCTGAATGGGTGAGAAATGGATGACCTTTAAGACCAAGAATTTAAATATTCTAGTCGTTGATTTGTTGTCGAACTTTGGCATCCCTTGCCGCCTAGCATTTCAAAATTCATTAATCAGCATCATAGAGCCAAGCCTGAGGTGACCCCGGGCACTGATGCCCAAGTCCAGAATGCTACTCTGGGCACTGATTCCCAAACAGATGGAGTGACTGCTTAGACAGGATTCCCTCTTTACCTCCCTCTCTGTCTTTATTTCTTTTCACTTTTGGATATTGTTATTTGCATTTGAGGACAAATGTTTTTATTTGTGGTAGGGTGACGCCCACCTTTGTCTGCTGATTATGACTCTCGTTTGGTTTAGATATTCGGTTTTTGTTTGGGTTTTTTGCGCTTAAATTGTGTCTTACACTACTTCTTGTGGATGTTTGAGCTTGTGGCTACTTTTATTTTAAATTGTAAATGATTTTGACCCTTCCGAAAAAATTTAAAATTTTTGACACCTCTCGTACGTGTGGAATGTGGCTGTTTTTACTAAATTTGAGTCTCGGTTTTGATCAATATCGATGACTCAACTAGTGCTCATAATCGAACGAACATGAATGTACGGCTACAATGAGACCAATTGAAGTTACATAGTCAATATGTGAACTCTTTGCATCTCGTTGTGACTAGCCAATTATCAAATTGATTCTCTTGTAATGAACGGTGCACACTAGCAAAAGTGTGGAGTCTTGTTTGACTTTGGTGTCGATGCCTTGTGTGATGCGCTTACTGTGAACCATGCATGATAACACCTAGATTTTCCCCCTTTGATTCGGTCGACTATGTAAGGCTATCTCTTGATATGATCTTAGGCAACTTCGAAAAGTGTGAGCCAATTTGACATATACCTCTTTTGTGGCTTACCTTGTGAGTGTGTGAACCTCTTTTGAACACCCCTTGAGCCTTACCTTTTTTGAAAGAAACTTGATGAAAACATGACGTTTCTTAATCCTCTACCTATAATCTTTGTGGTTCATTGAATAACCAACTTAGGCAAAAAACCTAAGTTAGGGGTTTGGTGAAAGAAAAGGCAAGTCAAGAAGTGCAAGGAAAGTCCCCTTTGACCCATGGTGTTGAAAAAAATGGAACCCCTCCATACAAAAAAAGAGAGAACAAAATGAAAGAAAAAGAAAAAAGAATGAAAAAGTTGTGGAATAAAGTACGAAAGAAATGGGGTTCCGAACAATCCATGGAACTGAATAATGGGATTACTTATGAGCACTAAAGAAAATGATGAAAGAAAAGAAAAGGGATTGTTGAAAGCACCACATTTCACGAGGATAAAAGTCACTGAACCTAAATGACCATACCTTTGCTCTCAACCCTATTGCAAGACTTGAAAAGACCTTTTTAATCTTGAGTGAGCTCAAACAATTGTTGATTGGAAACAGTACTAGAATTTCATTTTTTTTTTACCGCAAAATTTGTCGGAATGTAGTCGGAAATTGGAGTTTTCCGATGACTTTTTGACTACTTTTGAGTAGTCAGCAAATCGAGAGTCAGAAAATACTTGCCGACTACAGCAGTAGGTATTTTCCAACTACCATAGTCATAACATATAAATTAAGACCCGACCATAAAGTACCTAAACTGCTGACCACTGTTGTCAGAACACGACTAAAATAATACTTTATTAAGTTAAATACTTCCGACTACTGTAGTCAGAAACTTGTTAAATAATAATTTATTAATTTAATAATGTCGATTACCATTGTCGTAATAGTTACATAACTAAATAATTAATTATATATATTCCAATCACTGCGGTCGGCATCTATTACTGCTTCAATTACTTTTCCAACTACTATAGTCGGTATAAATATTAATATATTAACTATTATGTGATCTTCCGACTACTCTAGTCAGAATTTTTAGTTTGCTAAAAAAAATCTATATCCTTAATACATAAAATTGTTATTTATTTTGGTACATCATCTGCTAATTTATACTACCATCCATACATAATAATTCAACATAAAAATAAAACCAAACATCTAATACATTCCTAACCATTAGTTCCAATTCATTCACAATGGAGTCTCAAAGTTCAAGCATCATCAAAATTAAGTCTAATTAGTATTCAGTTGATATTCAAAACAAAAGTAAATAGTTAAAACAAGTCTAAATCTGATAGAAATTGTCTAAACAATTGGAATATAATCTACTCTTCATCAGAGTCAGTCTCTTCTTCGCTATCATCAGATTCAACCATATGTTTATCCATAAACTTCTACACTTTAGTATAGTTAGCTTCAGATGATTGCAGTCTATCTGTCAGCTTTGAGATCTCTCTATGCATTGCTTCCATTGCTTCCATTTCTTCCAAAGTATGAGAAGAAGAAGCTCCAGACAATAATAGTGATGGATGAGATGAGGAAGGCTGTGCTTCAAGACCGTAAACTCTACCTTTCTTCACACCTCATGCCACATTTTTCCACATTGAAGTAATATCATTAGATGTTAATTGGGTTGTGGAACCAACCTCAGAAGTAGGTTGTGTTTGACGCCATCCATCCAAGCCTCTTTGAAATCCAACCTGAAATAAATGTTAAATAACCAATAACTCCATTTCTTTAAGATATAATGCATAGTTAAGTAAGACAAGAAGACCATTACAAAGGAGGAAAATAATAAAGAAACCCATTTTTCCCTGCAATGAAGAAAAATATACAATCAATTTTGAAGTTGAGGTATCTCTCCTCCAGAAGCTGGAGGATATGGTTTTCAAGCAGGTAGATCTGAACAAAGAGATCTTGAGGAAGAATGAGTATCATTTGGAGCAGTCAGTTGATGATCTCTATGGTGTTGCTGAGTGGGATCCTATCCTTGAAGAGCTAAAGGAGATGGTAAGTTAATTTAGACGTCAAAGATAATTTCCCTCCTATTTCTTGTGCAAGATATAATTCCCCTAGTCGACTATATTCAATTTTGTGAATGCAGGGTTTTTGTGACAAGGAAATGAACAAGAAGCTGCTTAAGAAGAACAGCGGAAGCATCAAGCGTATTGTCATGGATCTTATTGCTGGAGAGCAGTAGGACATAAATATACTTGTCCTATCGTGTGATGGATAGTTTGGTGTGAATAAATGGTAGGATGCTACTGCGTCTACTATGTTTTGGCTACTGTTCGTCGATTATGATTTGACAAACTCCTTTAAGTTATGTATTTACTTGAACTAGCTATGTAATATAACACTATGATACTAGTCGTATCTGGAAACATGTGGTATGCAAAATTTAATGAATATGAATGTTTTTTTTCCTAATAGCCACCAAGAGAATTTTACCTTCTTGTTAAAAAGAGTTAGGCATATATCCAACTCTATGTATTCGTATTGCGTGGTCTTTGCTACTTCTGCCCTAGGCCCTTGCCTACAGGTCATTCTCAAATCAAGGTAGAAAGAAAGGAATTAATCACACAACTCTTCTACTATCTTAAAATAATTATACCACACATGCTTGAAATAAAATAGACTAATTTTGCCTTTGTTTAAAAAGATGAGAAACATTAGGGTGATAGTTTACTGAGTTAATATCTCCCATGAACACTCGACTAAGGAATTGTATCATAGAAAATTACTCAATTTTCATTTTTACTTCAAAAGTCATTCAACTATAAATGTTTGACTCACGAAACATGTTCATACCAAATAATATGTATTGTGATCATATCTTACATCCATCAAATACTACATAATCTGTAGATGTAAAAGGAATAATTTTTCCCTCATATCTACAATGTCCTCTATTCTTATTCACTACACTAGTCCAATTTAATTGCCCTTGATATCTCTTATCTCTATGTCTAGTTGAGTCAGGAAGGATTCACAATGCTCTTTCAAAACTTAACTAAATTAGACATATTTTTCTTTTTAAAGTAAAAATCTTATCCAACATACAATGAATGTATCATTCTCTTCTTATTTGAGATATTTTGATCTTGTAGAAACTAACTTGCAAGGAGACTTGCCAAAAACCATTTTCCTCCTACCCAAATTGAAAACTCTCAAACTGTCAGAGGATAATTTCATAAAACCACGCCAACTCCAAAACAGTAAAAGGAAGGAGAGAAGGTAAGTAAAAGTGAGGAAAGACACACAAGTTAGGACCAGCACAGAGCATCTATCTGCTTTCTCCCCTGCTCATACTCAAATTCATTCAAAGTAATGCATTATAAACAAGATGTACTTTCTTTCAACAGGTCAATAAATATCAGTAGGGGTCCTCTTGCCTAAAAAAAGGAGTCAGCCCAACATGGGCAATGATAGACAGACCAAAGATTTACGCAGTCCTTGTGTGCTTGCTTTGTGCACCGGCATAGCAGAATTTGAATCCGCTGGCTCAGATGAGTGGCTCTTGGCTTCGTAAACATATCTATGTTCTTGCTTTTTCACTACCAATGAGTAGGCAGCTTTGGATGCTTATGGAGATATGGCTTTGGTAAAGATCTGCTTAGCGTGTGCTTTCTCGGGTGCTACTTAGAATAGAGATAGTCAGACTCTAACTTGAGAATGTTATAGCGCTGTGAAATAAATGTCAAAACAAAAGCAACCAAATGGACACCACCCAACAACAGTACATGACAGAGATGTACTTCTTTCACAGATGTATTATATTCAAGCATGATAATACATAACAAGAATTTACTACATAACATGATCATATGAGCTGTACACTTTGATTATTCAAAGTCATTTCCTCCCCACCACTCCAATCTTTCTTGAATCTCACTGAGAAACTTGCTCAGTTTCCTATGCTCAAAATATAATAATCACTAAAACTAAAAACCACTAAAAGGACTCATTTCCCCTCTATCCCATGGAATATATAGAATACTTGCACTCAACCAGTGGCTGATCCATAAAATTCAGCCACTAAGAAACATCAACCAAGCTAAAAATTCTTGTGCAAGGAAGCTATCGAAAAGTTCAGATTATCTCCATTGTTCCAATATTGTCATAAAGATCTAAGATTCTAAGCTTATGTTAAATGAAATGATATTGAAGTGTTGTGACTTACAAATGTCTCCTCTGCACGTGGCTCTACCCATTCACCCCTTGTACCATCCTTATTTCTTTTCTTATGAGTCTCCTCAAACACCTCAACTTTAGACACCTCTTCACCTTTTAACTTTGTCTGCAATAAAAGGTATATGAAGTTCAATCGCATTTTGTTAGAAGTAAGGAAATTCAATTAAAAAAATTACCATTTTTTGTTTTTGGGCTACGAAACTCATGGAACCTCCTATATGTAAAGAGCCACCTTTTACGGAGGCCCGAGCTGCCTTCTTCTAGCTCACACTTCTTCTTAAATTCAGGACTGTTCCATTTCTCCAAAAAAATTAACCCATATGTCTTCTCGTAGCCAACCAGACTTCTTATTACTTTTTCGAGCTTCAAACAACATTTCAGTAACTCGAATACGAGCATTCCTCTCAAAAATAGAATTTATTTTGTTCTCATAACATGGCTTCCATACACACTTCATCTGCATATTAATAATATCATTACATTAAAATTTCAATATTTGATAACTGATATAAGAAAATTTTGATTTGTACCTTAAATTGATTCCATATTTGCTCCCTGATATTGTACGGATATTCTTTCAATCTACCCCAAGCATCATCGAAGAATTGTGAAATAGATTTTGGAACCATATGCGAGCCAAGATATGATGGTGCAAACCTGCATTATACTTCATTCATGTAAGAAGTAGATTCACCAAATTAAAAATGACAAAAATATAACTTACCCATCCTCATCAGGGGTGATAATCAACCTATGAAAAGCATTATATTTTCTAATTTCTCCAGCATTTTTAGTCTTTGAACAGGCAGGTGGTGCAGTAATACTACTACTCAGAGATGGTGATTCTGGTATAGGGACTCCAATATTTGACCTTGACATGCTAGGTGTCGATGATGCTGGAGATACAGCTTGAGTTGATGATTGAAGTAGAGAAGAGGAGATACCATTTTGACTTATATGACCACTCGAAGAAGAATTTATACGAGGTGCGGGAACAATATTATCAGGAAGGCTTATATTCTTGCCATGAGAAGCTATAGAGTTATTTTGGATAGGCCCGCATTGTGGTATACTAAAAAAAGAAGGTGGTAATGAAGTGGACAGGGAAGGAAACCCAGGGGATAATGAAGTCGACAGAGAACACTTAGTGGGTGGCAGTGAAGTCTGTTGAGTAGGAGCGACATATGGCAGTGAAGTTGGTTGAGGAGGAAAGGTGGGGGGCAATGAAGCTGGTTGAGAATCATGTTGTTTTCTCTTATTTGTATGCTTTCGACGCTTTCCAGATGTCTTCTTCATTGCCTAAAAAGATACTCAATACATGCAGAAGGATAATTTATAAGACAAATATGCACAATGATACATTATAAATAGTTATATCTATATGTTGTCCTAATGTACAGGGCCTATTAAGAATATTAAAAATGGACTGAGTAATCAGATTTCCTGCAAAGTAATTGTTGGAAGATTATTGAAACACCAACTTGCTTAGTTTAATAGTAGTATCAGTTGTTTGTTTAGTCTAGTACTGATAGTTATTTCAGTGTCTAAGGCAACCAGGCAACTACAATGTTCTGCAACATTTTCCCTGACTTTTGTGTTTTTAAGAATCTATACAATGGGATGGTGAAGGATACATATAAAAAAAAAGGCTTATAGTAAGACAAAGACTAGCTAGAATGAGGAAACACGTGATTAACAGGCTCAATGATCCTGCTAATCATGTGTTTTTTGTGATTAGGTATGTTACTTTGAGCAGAGGTGTTTTTTCCCTTCAGGCATTATAGGAGGGTCCTCTGTTACACTACAACTCACATATGGAAAAGAAAATGTGTCAATTCAGACAACAACAGATTAACATATGAAGAAGGAAATGTGTCAAATCTCTAATATCCTCGAAATCAAAGAAACAACCTACAGTCTCAAGAAGCCTTGCATCCACAATAGCTGAGTTAATTGGACTAATCAAAGATTTAGATGATCAACTACAACTTGTATATCATGAGAAGACTAGACATATTGATATAGATTGTCACTTTGTCAGGGAAAATATTCAATCCAAATAGTGATAAACCAGCAGATGCATTAACCAAGAACCTAAGTAAAGTGCAGCATGAGTATCTTACATCCATACTTGGTGTTCTAAACATATTTATATCAACAAGCTTAAGGGGGAGTTAGTCACCGTACAGTCAGTTAAATTAGTTACCGTGCAGTTAGTTAAATTAGTGACTATGTAGTTATTTAAGTTAGTTATTGTAATGAATTAGTCAGCTGGGATATGGAAGTGTAGTTCATCAAAACTCTCAATTTGGGGTAAAACTGGTCCAAAAATATATGGCCCGAAAGCTGGACTAGATTATTTGGACAATGAACTTAGGTTCATCTTTTTGTGTCAAGTAAGTTACTTGTTATAGTGTTGTCTTGATTTTTATGTGGCATTTTACTTTTGCCTTTAATCGTTTTTTTAACCTTGTTTTCTTCGTCACTCTCAGGCAGCCCTAGAGGCACCTAGAGTTTTGAATTTGAACAATAGCTACTACTCATAAGAAATCACCATATGCTAGAATAATTTACAGCTTACAACCAATAAAATCAACATTAAACTACCGATAACAAATCAAGATAAAATAGAAGCACTATCAATATAGTAATATTCAATTATAAATAATTCAAATCCCTTTGTTATAAAATAAAAAAATACTCAAACAGAAACTTATCTTAGACAATCTAGACTATTAGATAATGAATTTTCTGTAGCCCATATTAAGCTCAAGTCAAACATTATCAAATCCAACATACCAACTAAACTCAAGAGAGAAACATTGGATAAGCTAATGATCTAAATTTGTCAACACAACGAACCAAACAAGTCAACCTTCTTCATTTGATTCATAATGACTACCAAATTCTTCCTCATCACTTATTTCATTTTCTTCAAGTAATTCCTTATCACTTGTTTCATATTCATCAGTTTGGGATTCCTCCTCGTTAGCTCTGCATGTTCCTTCCCGATAATTATTTGGATTTGATTGAAGGAAAGTAGCATCAAATTCTTCATAGATGCCTTCATTATGCTGCAATTCACCTGCTAATTCATTATCCACCATTGCTTCAACACTTGAAATATCATTTTGAAACGCTACATCCAATGCATCCTCAACCTCCACTCTCCCCACGGGCTTTGTTTCTATAACTACATGCCACAAAGATTTATTCTTGCACAAAGGATAAGGAATGTAATACACTTGTTTCACATTCTGTGCAATGATAAATGGATCATAGAAACGATACTGCCTCGTGTGATTAATTTCAACTATTTTGTATTGAGGATGCACCTTTGTACCACTAGAATCAGGATCACACCACTTGCACCGAAAGATTACTATCTTTTTCTTTGGCCAACCAACAAGATAATCGAGTTTTGTAATCTCTTGAAGCACACCATAATAATCAATAACCCCCTCACCTTTCACCCACACCCCACTATTATTGGTTTTCTTGCCTTTGGACCATTCTTCTGTATGAAATTTGTATCCATTGATGAAGTACTTAGACATTATTCTAACTCTATGATAAGGTTCCCAAGAAATATCACGTAAAAATTGGACATTCACAACATCCACGACATTAACTGGATTATGAACCTATATTGAATTAAAGAAAATTTAGAATTCTAAAAATACATATAATTGATGGGGAAATGATTAATAGTATTAGGTAACACTTACATATTTTCTAAACCACTTTGAAAACATAGGATAAACATCATCTTTCCCATATGTACCAACAAAATAACTGTCCAACAAAATAACAACTTAATTAGTTAAGGGGATGATGAATCTTGACCTATATAGATATATATATGTACCTATGAAAAGGTTGTACCTCAGGACAATTCAATAATACATGTGTTGAAGCTGACTTTGGCTCCATCTCAGTTAACTTTCGCTTTCGAGCATGTTTTGAACCTCCTTTTCCTGGATGATTAAATATTGATAAGGGTGGTGCCAAAGGATCAATAATTCCTCCATCATCATGTCGATTGGGTCTATTTCTCAAACACGACTCATAATTTTCAAAATAATATGAATCAAAATTAGAAATTTCTCTTGCCAGATATGTTTCACGCATCGCTCCCTCTATTCTCCATCAATTTTGTATGGTCCTTTTACTTTTGCCGATAATCCTATAAAGTATGACCTTTAGATGATTTTTTAAAAATGCAAACACAAAAGGAAAATAATTAAAAGTCCTCCCCTCTAAAATGGATACATCCATCTACCTTGAACTGGACCTCCAAGTCGTGCCTCTTGCACAAGATGAATTGGGAGATGTTCCATTACATTGAAAAAACCAGGAGGAAATATTTTTGCCAGTTTGTTTAAAACTAGGCAAATGTTACTGTCCATGTAATCTAGGTTCTCCACCCTCAATGTGCTAGAACACAACTCTTTGAAAAAAAGGCTTATTTCTGTGATGGGTTTCCATATATTCTATCATGCAAGGACTTGAATGAAATAGGCATCAAAGATTCCATGAAAATGTGACAATCATGGCTTTTCATAGACATCAAATTTCATTCTTTCATATCGACACATCTAGATAAGTTTGAAGCATATCCATCAGGCATCTTCAATTTTTTTACCCAATCACAAATCTCTCTCTTCTCATCCAAAGTGAATGTGTAACTAGCCTTGGGCTTCTTAATCTTGTTGTTAAGGTATGTTAAGTATAACTCACTTCGCCTGCAATATTCTTTTAAGTCCATCCTAACCTTCAAATTATCTTTTGTCTTGTTATTGATATCCATCACAGTATTAAATATGTTGTCAAAAACATTTTTTTCAATATGCATGACATCCAAATTATGGCGAAGAAGGTTATGCTTCCAATAAGGTAACTCCCAAAATATGCTTTGTTTTGTCCAATTATGTGTAACACCATAAGCAAGTATCTTAGATGGTGGAGAATCTATTACCTTAGGTAAATCCCTAACCCTATGCCACATTTTTTCAGATAATAAAGTTGTAGGTGGCTCTTCAAAATCAGTTTGGTTCTTCATAAATGCACTAGTATTTCTCCTAAATTCATGATCCATTGGCAAGAAACGACGGTGACAATCGAACCATGAGTTCTTACCTCCATGTTTTAATGTGAATTATTTTGTCTTCCATGCAACATGGGCAAGCTAACTTACCAGCAGTTGACCACCCAGACAACATTCCATAAGCAGGAAAATCATTTATAGTCCACATCAAAGCAGCACGTATTATGAAGTTTTGTTTATGGAATACATCATATGTTTCAACACCTTGATTCCACAATAATTTTAACTCATCGATCAAAGGCTGCAAGTATATGTCAATCAATTTTTTTGGATTATTTGGACCAGGAATAATGCAAGTTAGGAACAAATATGGACTTGTCATACATAACTCGGGGGGAGATTATATGGCATAACAAATACTGGCCAACATGAATATTGTACCACAGAGACAGCAAATGGAGTGAATCCATTTGAACATAATCATAACCTAATGTTTCTAGGTTCACTAGCAAATTCAGGAAACAATCTATCAAAATGTTTCTATGCTTCTCCATCTTATGGATGACATAGAACACCAGGTGGCCTTTTATGTTCATAATCCCATCTTATATGAGGTGCAGAGCCCATTGATGCATACAACCTCTTTAACCTAGGTATCAGGGGTAAGTAATGTATTGCCTTCACTGGAACCTTCTTCTTTTTGACATTTGTGACTTCCTTATAACGAGCTTGATTACAAAATTTGCAATTTTTTAAAGATGCACCATCTTTATAAAATAACATGCAACCTTTTTCACAACAGTCAATCCTTTCTGATGAAAGTCCTAACTTAGAAACCATCTTCTTTGTCATGTAGAAATCTTTAGGTAAGTCAATTTTATTCGGATTAAGTTTATTCACAAGCCCAATGATAGAATCCATCCCTGGTTGAGAAATTGAATAATCTGACTTTATACTTAGCAATCTAACAACAACAAACAACTTAGAATGCATTGAACCTTCATATAATGGTCAAGTAGCTTCAGTTAATTGTTCATTGAAGCGCTTAGCCTCATCATTTGGTTCTAATTGAGACCCTGGGAACATCCCAAAAGCATCCCTCTGCATTTCATTGAATCGAGAACTTTCAACATTAATATTATCTACAGGATTATCCACAGCATTAAACCCATTCTGAAAATCAACATTAGCTACAGTGGCGTCATTCTCTCCATGAACTGTCCACACATAATAATTATCCATAAATCCCTTCTTCAAAATATGAGATTCAACTTTATCTGGTTTCAATAACTTGATACACCTGCATTTGGCCCAAGGACATCTAATTGTGCCTTCTATCAAAAATCATTTCTAGTTTTCACCTTTGCAATAAATTCTTTAACCCCATTTATAAATTCCACCCTCAATCCCGCACGATTAGGATGAGTTCTATCATACATCCATTTACAATGTGTGAATTCCATCTACACGAATAAAAAAAGTTGGGAATTTAACTAAACAAACTACCAACAATTCAATCAAGAACACATCTCTAAATGAAATCATAAAAATGGAGATTTTTCAGCTATGTAATATAACAATTTTTTTCATATTTGACATAAACTTGTTTAAGAAAATAAGAGAACACAACATATTATAGCACTTTTCAACACATAACCTAGATAGCTAAGTACAAAGAGACAGTAAGAAAACAAAATATAGACTCTGGATAAGCATAATCAATAATTCATAAATGGAAAATAGAAAATCTTAAAGTTTGAACTAACTGGTTGTGAAAAATAGAGATATAATCGAGAGTATAGAGGAGACGCCTGCAGAGTGGTCGAGAAAATTAAGTAGCAATCCGGTTCTGTAGAGAAAATTAAGCATATATTAACTCAAATTTGTTGATTGAAGAAAAATTAAATAGGAGAAAAAGGAAATGGAACTTGCTAAAGTTCAATCTAGTTTTTTATTGGTTTGATTAGGCAAGGCCTGATTTAGCAATTTACAGTACATTCAACATCTATCCCATAACAAACCAAGGCATGTAATCAAATAACAAATAAAGATTCAGTTCCTATGGCATCATTCAATCCCATAAAAGACCAAGGCATGTAATCAAAATCTATCATTTATTAGTTCCCCTGAAGTTGCTTCCTAACTGCCCATTCTAAAATTTATTTTATTTATACAAAATGCTCACAAATTCTCATTTCACAAAAGAAGTTGCTTCCTGACTAGCAATTCTCTATTGATTGCAGTTTTGGTCGGACCAATCTATGAACATCTCAAACCAACTCCTTCTTATTATCCTCTACATGAGCAACACTACCCATCGATAATCGACTAAGAGCGTCTACCATCACATTTCCTTGCTGGAGTGATAGAGAACACTAATATCATAATCTTTCAATAACTCAAGCTACCTCCTTTGACGAAGATTTAGATCTTTCTATTTGAACATATATTGCAAACTCTTGTAGTCGGTTAAAACATCCACATGAACACTTTACATGTAATGACTCCATATCTTTAAGGCAAAAACAATCGCTGCTAGTTCAAGATCATGAGTAGGATAATTCTTCTCATGAATCTTAAGTTGCCTTGAGGCATAAGTAATGACTTCCCCCTTTCGCATTAGGACATATCATAACCCTATTCTCAAGGTATCAGAGTAAACAACAAAACCATTCATTCCTTCCGATAAAGTCAACACCAGAGAAGAAGTAAGTCTATCCTTCAGCTCTTAGAAACTCATTTCACATTCTTTAGACCATATGAACTTAACCTTCTTTTGGGTTAATGTCGTCAATGGAGAGGCAATCGAAGAAAACCCTTCTTTAGTAACCAGCCAAACCTAAGAAACTCCTAATATCCTGAGGGGATAGAGGTCTAGGTCAACTCTTACCCGCATCCGCCTTCTTAGGATCTACCTCAATACCCATAAACAATGTAACAATGAAAAGCCACGGACCTTAGCCAAAACTCATGTATGCTAAACTTTGCAAAAAGTTGTTGGTCCTTGAGGACTTGCCATACAATCCTCAAGTGATCAGTATGCTTTCTCTCACTTCTCAAATAGATCAGTATGTCATAAATGAACACAATCACAAACATATCAAGGTATTGTCTAAGTACTTTATTCATCAAGTCCATAAACATTGCCGGAGAATTACTCAATCGAAACGACACTATTCAAAACTCATAATGACCATACCGAGTTTGAAAAGCCGACTTCGGAATGTTGTCTTCCTTCACCCTCAATTGGTGATAAACCGACCAAAGGTCAATCTTAGAGAAGTAACTTTCTCCTTGAAGTTGGTTAAACAAATTATCTATTCTTGGGAGAGGATATTTGTTCTTAACGGTAACCTTATTCAAATGCCGATAGTCAATGCACATACGGAGTGAACCATCTTTTTTTCTCATGAACAAAACTGGGGCACCCCATGGAGAGATACTTGGCCAGATGAAACCATTATCTAACAAATCTTTCAATAGCTCTTTTAATTCCTTAAGTTCTGTCGAAGCCATTCGATAAAGAGGAATAGAGATAAGTTGTGTATCTAAGAGAAGGTCAACACTGAAGTCTATTTCCCTTTCTGGAGGAAAACCGGGTAGATAATCTAGAAACACTTCATGAAACTCATTAACAACGGGGACCGACTAATGAGTAGTGGTCTCGTAATCTATATCCCTCACCTTAACTAGATGGTATATGCAACCCTTAAAAATCATCTTTCTAGCTATATGACCAGAGACAAACTGGCTCTTAGGCATATAATTTCCCCCTTTCCACTCTAGGGTGGGTTCATTTGGAAACTTAAACTTGATTACATGGGTTCTACAATCAATAGAAGCATAATGAATGCAACCAATCCATCTGAAGAATAACATCAAAATCTAGCATATCCAGCTCTACAAGATCAAAATGAGTGACTCTATGAAATAAGGAGACATGACACTTTCTATAGATACTCTTAGCCACGATAGAATCACCAACTAGAGTAGAGACAGAAATGGGATCTAACAACGCTTCCGGAAGAATATTGAATCTCATGGCCACATATGGCGTCACAAAAGACAAGGTAGCACTGGGGTCAAGTAAAGCATAAACATCAAGTTGGAAGACTTTCAACGTACCGGTAACCACATCGGGAGAACCCTCTTATTCACCGCGAATCTGAAGTGGATGGAACCTGTTTTGTTTCTGACTTCCACTAGAATCGGATAAGGGATTCAGTTGAATCTGTCGACGATTTTCTCCCTAGTTCTTAGCAATTGAAGGACATTCCCTCATCTTGTGGTTCATCCTACCACAACCAAAGAAAACATTTGTGCATGCTAAACACTTACCCTCATGCTTCTTTCCAGACCTAGCACACGTAGACATAAACAATAAAGATTCACCTCTATTTCCTCCTTGAGGCTTAGGTTTAGACACCCTATCTATGTTGAAATTTGATGGAGCATTGGAGGAACCTTGAATAGAAAACCTTTGTTGAAATGTAAAACGACCATGTCCATCGAACCTCAAATGAGAGAAGTTACCATTACCAGTTTTGGACCTTTTTGTCTCCCTAAAACTTTCCTTAAGTTTCTTTTCTTCGATTTATTGAGCATGGACCATGAGACAGGAAATGTCCATGTCATTGATGAGCATGGAAGTACGACATTCCTTAACAACCATTTTGGATGCACACGAAACGAATTTACTCATCCTTGCCCTAGGATCGACAATCATGGTAGGAGCATAACGAGACAATTATGTGAATTTTAAAGCATATTCCTTCACACTCATATTTCCTTGATGAAGGTTGATGAACTCAAGTACCTTTGCCTCCCTCATCTTAAGGGGAAAGAACCTATCAAGGAAAGGAACCTTGAATTTTTCCCAATCAAGAGAACACGCATCTTCCGCCTTTCCTTCTTTCCATTGGTTGAACCATATTTAAGCAACACCCTTAAGTTGATAAGCAGCCAACTCTGTATTTTCCACCGGTCTCGCTCCCACGATCATCAACACCTTATAAACCTTATCAATGAACTCTTAGGGGTCTTCCTCAACCTTAGAATCATGAAACTCCAAAGGATTCATCCTAGCTAAATTCCTCACTCTAGATGCCACTGTACCCGCATTTGGGTTCACGGGAATCGCAACCTCCCTATTGACTTGGGCCATCGTGGCTTGAGCCAGCACTTGAAAACTAGCCCTAAACTCCGCATTTGTCACTTGCTCGACCAAAGGGTCGACCAAAACTTGAGAATCCTGAGGATATTAAGGATAAGCTTCTCATTCCACATTCTCTCCCACATTACTTCTAGCATATGCTCTTCGAGTATTCATATCCTATAGAGCATGAGATAAGGATTAGGAGAGAGACATTATAAAGTTAAACTCTATCGCACGAATTTAGAGTAAAGAAAGAAGTGGAGTTCTCTAAACATCTTATAGCCTCTCATTCATAAGAGTGGCGCGCTTCACACTCATGAACAACACTCTACTCGACGTGGCTTATCTTCCTAGGACCTTTCTAAACTTTGTGCTCCGAATACCAAGTTTGCCACGACTCAATGTAGACCCAGATGTAACATGGTGTATAGGACCTCGAGAGGCCCTGCACAAGCCACTTAGCATACATAAATAAGATAGTAGAAATTCAAGAGAATTTAAAGACAATTTCAAATCATAAGAGTTTGACAAAATCAAAACAGAAGCCTAACAATGTCTTAAAGCCATCAAATATAAAGAGTGATCTTGACGTAACCCATACATCACATACAACTTGAAAGTAAAGACTTATGAAATAAAAGTCTAGTCCTCGGAGCATGAGGGTTCACCAATCTTCAAACTTCTACTATGAGATCCCTAGTCACGGAAGTGTGAATCTAGAGCGTCAGACCATATATTTTTTAAGAAATATAGGCAAGAGTATGTGTTAGTACAGAAATTCATGGAGTATGATAGCAATGTTAGTACAGAAATTCATGGAGTATGATAGCAATGCATAGAACATTTGAAATCATGCTCAAAAGGGACATTTTTATGATATGCAATGACAAAAGTAAGACATTAAATAAAAGAGTTAGCAAATATAAGTCATAAGGTAAGCATGATCAATGCAACTAACATCTTTAACCTTCATGAGATACTTCTAAAAGTAACCTTAGTTCATTAATGTGGGAGATTTTCCTTAAACTGACATATAAGACCATGTGAGCTACTAACATGGAATTTGGTGTCTACCCCACACCGAAAAGAGGTGTCCAATTTCAAAGTAAGACCATACACTTCTAGCTATTGTGGATCCACTAGTTAATGTCTATCTTGATAACCTATGATGGTGCATACTTTATGGGGCATGGGTAATCGCCACTTGTCCTCTCAATGCTAAGCATAAATCCCACAAAATATTTGTTAGACTTAACTTTCCTTACCATTCATAATACATGGGTAATCGTCACTTGTCTTAGCATTGGAAGTCATGGGTAATCGTTGCTTGCCTCATTATTAGAATAGCTCCATAACTTTGATTCATTTTAGGTGAGAAGATCTTTCAACCTTAGAATCCTTTATCTGAGAAAACTATGAGAAACCCTTTCACAACACAACAACATTGATGCTTCACTCTCAAAGAATCCTTAAAACATCTTCATCAATTTCACAAGGACATGCATAATTTTGATAAACTAATCCTTCATAGTTCAAAACCCACATTATATCATCAAAACTTGGAAAACATGGAGATGCATGGGTTCATGGGGATTCATATTTAAAAAATGGAATTGTCTCAACTCATGCATAATAATGCACAAAACAATCAATTAAATCTACATTGAAAGGAACTCATGACATGGAAGGAAAACTTTAACTTCAATTGGAGATTTCTAACTATGTAATTGAGAAATTTGGGAACTCTATGTAGGGAAAGGCTCTATAGATGAAAAGTATCTTACCCCAATAGAGGAACTGGAGACTTGATTTGAAAACTCTAGCATTCTTCATCTTCTTCTAGCGAGAGAAATATTTGAGAGAAAGACTTATTCTTCTTTTAGGAATTTGAGAGAATTACTTCAATTGGGGAAATTCATGGGTAAAAACACTTATATAGGGCTTTAGGTAAGGG